ACCATTGATATACTTCTCTGGGGGTTGAAGATACCTGGCTCAAATCATCTGTGTGCAAGTAGTTTATTAATGCACACCTTGCTCTATGTCTGTGACATGTTAAATCTGCTAGTTATGCGCTACTCCAATGGTGTGAATGTGTGTGAGGAACCCTGGGGATAATTTCCAGGCATCCTGCTACTTTTATAGAAATCTTGGACAAGCGTCAGAAAGGCAGTACTATTATAGTTGTCACTGTTGCCTTCTAACTACAGTTCCCAATAAAAAATGAGCTTCACACTTTCTTTTCCATAAACTTCCAGGAATTACTTCCATATTCTTCTAAGTATATGGATAGCATCACACAGGGAGGGAATCTTCTTGCTTGCTGGTTTCTGTTAGCAAGATTTGGTACTGCAGCTTTTCTGCTAGTGCAAAATTCTTGATCTGCACACTCTACAAGATAATTCCTTTCTGAATCTGCTTGTACATACTGGGATATTTCTCTCCTATCTGAAAACTTTGCACTGAGAATGAAGACAGATGCATGCTGCCCRCATTCTGTCATAGCAGACCTCTTTCTCCACTTCTGAGCCATCTTTTCTATCTTCTATGGGTAGTTCAGTACCTTAAGCAGTCTTGTATGGAAAAGTGGAAAAACAGTGATGGTGTTAGTGAAAGGTGAACAGTTTAGGTATTTTCAGAATCTAGAGTGGTTTCCTCAAGTATTTTGTTATTGACATTAGTATTTGTTATTAACTATTATATCAGTTAATTCTACCTATATTTACTAAAAAAGGAATGATGATATTACTTAGGCCAGTTGTCTAAAATAAAGTCTAAAAGTTACTCTGTCCTTATTATGGATAGTATAAAATGAGATATTAGAGCTATTTTGTTTATTTTGCAAGTTCAATTAATTGGACTTTTGTTTACCATGTTTTTCCATACCAGCTCAGCTTTGTGATGTGGATAGTCAGTCTCGTTGAGTATGTGGAGGTGCTCATTTTCCTAAACCCTTTCCAGAATTAGGAGACATTAAATATGCCAATGCRTGTTGTGGATTTGCAGATTTATAGTCATTTGGAATAGGCTGCCCAGAGAGGTTGTAGAAGAAGTTCTTTGGAGATCTTTCAAATCTGCCAGGATATGACCCTGTGCTCGATGCTCTAGGTGTTCCAGCATGAGCAGGGGGTTGGACTAGATGACTGGACTCTAGTGGTCCCTTCCAACCTTAAGCATTTTGTGATTCTGTGAGTTGCTGTGCAGGCACAAACTGCTTCTTCAGCATCATTTGGAGTGGACACATCTGTATAGAATGTGAGAACTTTCACAGAATCACAAAACAATTTAGGTCRGGATGGACCTGAGGTTATCTGGTGCAAGACACTGTTTTAGGCAGAGCTAACTTGGGTCATTTTCCTGAAATTTCTAGATCGATGTCTAAAGTCACAAGTCACATTATTCTATCCACATACAGTCTCCAAAGTGGAGACAAGGCACCATTTTTAGGCTACTCAGATACACAAAAGTCTTTAGAGAAGACAAAAGAGCAGAAAAACCTTTAGTGGTCAACAAAAACTTTAGCTGAAAAACAACAAAGTTAATCACAGAACTGGGCGCCTGAATCTAGCTAATTATTTTAAAGTAGTTGCAGCTGAATGAACTTAAATCATTCCACTGGGAACTTCCTAGATGAGCAGGCTYAGTCCTGCAGTCATTTAGTTAGCTGAGATAAATTTATTTTGGTGAATAATTTTCTTTACATTTCTGTAGGCTTATTTAGAGAAGGAAGGAGTAAAAGACTTTATGGAAAGAGAAAAAATCTGCATGAAAAGGAGTAATGTAAATATTTGAAAGACTACTGTCCTCTTCCAGCAATCTAAGGGAAGATACATAATCGATCTGTAGTTAGATGAGTAGAAAAAGGTAATAAGTGTTTATATTAGGATGGCAAAAAGTTTGAATTATAAGTCTGACTTTGCTGGATATATCGTTGTGAAAAACTGCTTTCAGATTTTACAAATCCATATATGTCCACTGTTGACAGTAATTTTTCATTTGAAAATGAAAGTGGAGTTATTGCTGTTATGGTACGGTGTCTGTAGGGAAACTTTCCCCACTATAAGAACAGAAGTACACTATTTAATTCTGTCATTTTATTTATTTCAAATACCACTGGCTGAATTAGGAAATTGATACATGAATATTTTTGTCAAGGGGCAAACATTAATGGGTTTGGACAGTATGAGAAGGAATGAATTTCTATGAGAATAATTTATAAACAGCTGAGGGAAAAAAAATTAAAAAAAAAATCTGTTAGGGTGCCAGAGGGTTCAACAGAAAATATATCTGCACATAGGGTTGAGGAAATGTGTTTCCCCAAAGGCGTTAAAAAATACCGGTCAGATATAGTTCAGGTCACCTGGTGGAAAGCTCTTTTGCTGTGTCCTGCTGCCCACACTGTCTTCTCCTCAAAACTCYAGCGTGCTCAGCTTTCCATTAGTGACAATCCCTGATTACACCATGCATTCAAACGAGCCAAGCCTTGTAACTCCAAAATATATAGCAGCAATCAGAAGGACCTAAACTCCAACCTACGCAGCAGTTTCTGCTTGGTAGCCCTTTGCATCTGGCTTTGCTTGCTATAGGTCAGCCCTYGAGCCGCTGAGCAGGCCAGAATTGCTGTCATGCAGGGGAGGATGTGGCCCCTTAATTTTTTCCCCTGATGTCTTTTTTTTTCTTTCAACCTTGCAGCATTGTTTCACGAATACATTACTTTCCATTGAGTACTGGCAGTCCTGACATTGATAGTCAGTGAATCAATACTTACAGAATCATGAAGCCAAACTAGTTCTGCAGATCCACAATGTGCAGTATGTGGTTTTTCATTCTAGATATAATAACTGCAATTTGAAGTACGCCCCCAGAAGCATTGATTGCATGCTTTGAGAAATTCACAATAAAGAATTTAATTAAAAAGAAGAAACTGCACTACTCCATTTGAAAAAGGAAAAATCACCCGAGATGTTTTTTTCATTTTCACTCTATAATAGCAATAATGTTTAGCTGAGGACATTTCCTGGGGCTTAATGGCCCATGGCTGTGCTTCTTCAGGTGATCATCATCTCCCAGCTGTCATTAATCCCCTGCAAATGCCCTGCACCTCAGTCATTTAATGTGCTTAAACGTGCTTCTTCTGAAAATGAAATACTTCTATATTTAATGCATCTTCCAGGAATAGGAGTGATCTTTCTGAGGTAAGGACTGGAAGGAGTTTAGTAGCTTGTCAGAGAAATACTAATTATGACAAGTGGAAGAGATCTGTGCCTGGAGATAGCACGATAATGACTTTTTCCATGATTAGAGCATTTTATATATATGTCACGATTCATGCACAACCTGCTCGTACCACAGCCAAGTCAGAAATGCAGCTAGTTATTTCTAGCTGTTTTTGTTCTTAGTGTAGACATAGAGCATCTCACAAAACATAGAGAGCATGTGCTCATACTACTGTGAAAATAAGAAAGTCCTTCTCTTCCTAGCTATAACATAGAACTACACAGCAATTTACTCATTTTACAAGGTGATTGTGATTAGGTAAGAGAAAAAAAAAAAAAAAAAAAGGAAGTTAAATCTTTCATACCTAAAGGTCTGAAGTTCTTATAAAGAGGCCTTTTGGTGAGAATTTTCAGTGTTTCTTACAAATGAAACCACAAACACAGCACCAAGAGTGTCATGAAAAGTAATGATAAAGTTTTAAACAACAGGCAACCAACCCTTGCAAGTGGAATTAAACTCTTTTATGACAATGTAGAATTAAACACATTAATATTTGAAGGCAGTTAGCCTGGGTAAAAGATGAAATGGGATTTGATTTTAATTTGGTTGGAATTCTGCACACAGTTTATTATTATTGTTATTACTGTTATTGTTATTACTGTTTTACATCGCCTTTTGCATTATAACTGTGCTTTTCTTCCATGTTACGTTCCTATATTCCATATAGAGTACGTAAAGGCTGTCCCTGTCCCAAACACGTTGTAATATAGAGAGGCATCAGGCCTGATCTTATCACATTGACTTCACTGAGGGGTGAATTAGTATATTTTAGGTTCTAAAAATCATTTATTATTTATGTTGGACATTCAGATCTAATGTTAATTGATGAGTGACTGTGCAAATGAGGACAGAAGTGAACTTTTGAGCCATACATTGTTAAAATTTGGATCTAAATGATATAAATGTTAAAATTAGATCTCTCCCATTCAATGTTTTGATTGCAGGTTAACCTGAAAAAAGTTGAACTGTTATACTTTGACCTACAGATTCCTTTTCAATTTTCCCTGTTAATTTAAACAAAAATCACGTGAGAAAAATACATTTTAGTAAAGATGAAGTGTTTTGCCTAATTTTTTTCCCCCAAATGCAAAAGACAAATAGCAATTTTTTTAAATAAAGCATTTTACATACTTTCACATGTACATACACAGGTGCTCATCCTGTCCTACATCTTTACTAGTTTTTGGAAAAGCTATTTTATGTAGTATTTGTGTATTTACATACATAAGTACATAGGTATATACTATGTACTTATAGTATAAATACATAATTTATACTTATGTATAAATACATAAGTATTTATGTACTTCTATGTAAATTACAATGTCAATATTCTTCACACCATTTGCCAAAATGCAGTTAAAGGTTTTGCATCTAAATTCTATCACAGATGGTGTTATAACTTACCTATCTTCTTCTATCATGATGGATACTCCAAATGCAAACTGAATTACAAAGTACGGAAAGTCAGGCAGACTTTGCATTGGAATGTATTCCTACAAGATAGTATACAATAAAGGACAATATAAATTCCAAAAGTGAATTTATCATTATGCCTAGAATTTTTTCATAGTTTTTCCTCTTAGCGTTCTGTTTCTTTCATCTATTGATTATATTTACAGATAACTAGTGGCTTATTATTCTTAATAATGCTTCTCATTTTTAATTTTGTGTTGTAGGTTTTGTTTTCCCTCTGCGCTGCATTCTGGGTATTACGATCTCTGAAGCGGAGCACTTCATGTGCTGATAAACACAACTGAGAGAGCAGATCTCACCTCACTAATTATGGAAAGAGCCCTTTGGAATACTCTTCAAAGTTCCTTGCAATTAATCAACTATGTCTCTAACTGAATTGCAATCATTTCACATATGATAGGAGGGGGCTGTGATTTTGTATGAAGGTTTGAGAGATTTATTAGAATAGGCATGTATTTTGATTTGATTTTTAAAAATATTTAATTTCCCATCTCATTAAAGAAAAGGTTCTTGTAATTCTTTCCCCATGCCCTCACAATTTTCATTTTTTTTTAATTCAAGGGATCACAAAATCTTAGAAACCATGTAAAATGATAGCGTTTTGCAGTCATTTTATTAGTATTTAACCATATGTGAAAAATATTCTTCATGATAGATATAATTTAAATCATATTTGTTGCAGCCTGGTATAAAACCCTATCTAGATTAAATGTAAAAATATGGGAATGTCAATTTTTCCGTAATGATTGAATTACATTTGAATATCAGTGTCATACTCAATCGTGTGTTCATAACATACAGCTACATAGGGATGAAAAGCAACAAAATGATTAAAAACAGCATGATAAAATAACTCCAACTAGTTTGAGTAGAAACATCTTCAATAATTTTGACTGATATATGTATTGCATAATGTAGGCTTACAGTTTTGATTGAACTATTTCAAGGGTATACCTGCTGTTGCCAACTTCAGATACTGATCGCGCCAGCACTTACACACATAAGCATCCCATTCACTAATGATACTCACGTGACAAAATATTTGCAAGACTGGGCCCTTAATTTCTAGTAATTTCCTGCCGAGGTGATCTCAGGGGAGATGCACGTCTTGTCTTTCAGAAGCTGCTGGAAAGATGGTTTCTATTGAGATAGGAAAATTAAATACAAATGGTGAAGGGAGTCTCCAAACAGCAGGGCTGGCAAAAATGCTGGAGCTAGGTTGTTTTTCTTTCCTCACGCTCTTCCAACTTTTACTTGGCTCCAAGATATTTAAAAGTGCTTAAAGTCAAGTAGCTCAAAAATGTAGGCTGTCTTGCRTGCTCCAAACTATTAATAATACCTGGATTAAAATATAAGACTCTTTTTTTTTTTTTCCATTTTCCTTTAAGATATTCATGACAAGCTAACAGAGATCTCAGATGTAGACAGATAGCTTACTTTTAATTAAGTTGTATTTTCGTTCTTTTGCTGTAACAGGTGCCAATATCTACATAATTGAATGTTTCCAGTAAATCATCAGAAAGACCATGTAGTTATATAAATAAAATCAACCTAGTTTCCAGTGATAGTATCARTCTTATTTTACATAGATTCTTTCTTTAAAATCCACATTTTAATTTACCCCATTTGCGGATCAAATGACCTGTGCCTATCACTTTGGATTATACTCGAACTAAAAATATTTAACTGAAAAAGCAGGCTTTAGTTTAATTAGAGGTAGTCTTGGGAAAGTACAGGTCACACCTTTCTTAACTGAAGGCATGTTTAAATAAAGAGTTTACTTTGGTATCTTTTTCATTTTGCGTAATGAGATGAAAAACAATCCTACAGAAATGTTATAAAAATGAGTATTTTAAAATATTTGCTTAGAAATTTTAGTTCAGTCATGATAGATTTCTATAGATAGATTTCTAATGTCTTTTTTGAAAGTAATAAACACAGGTATCTATCTCTGGCTCCCACAGTGGAAATATCATATAGTGACTAGAACACAGATGTGGAATCTCTGTTACACTCATGGTTCTGATCCAAACTTATCTCTTTGCTTGAATTTTACCATCTGCAGAATGGAGGTGTAGAGATACTGACAGTGAATAGTCACACCATAATCAAAGTGGTCTTTTTTTYTTATATATATATAAAGCTATTACAGTATATTACAGTATATAATGATTGRTTCTAATTCCACAAGTAGAACACAATCCACACACTTTTTTAGGTGACCTCATAAATTACTGCAAATGTACCTTCTAAATTTGTAACAGGGACATCAACCTTACAAGAATGTGATTAGGTCAGTTTAACTTCGTGACTGAGAATTGCAACGAATAGTCATATAAAAAGGCAGTTTTCCTATCAAAATAAATCCTTCAAAGAGCCATGAGAAGAATAATTTAATGCATTAGTGTTTTCTAGCTTTCRGTTGATTAACTCAGGTAAAATAATATATATCTTTCCACTACTTGCTGCAATAACACTTAGCTCTCAGTGTTGTCTAATGCATTGTACGCATTCAAAATCTGYATTTAAAAATCTGCCATCTTGGAAGGGCAGTAATTAAAATCTATATGCACTTACAATCCATTAAAATTTTTTTAAAAGTATCCTAATGAACATCATTTTTTTCATATGAGATAATGAGAAGAATGTGAAAGTAAGTGCAAATAAGTCCCTATCAGTTGCCTACAAATAAATTAAAAAACACAGAGAAGCTAGTGATACAGATAAAAAGCACAGTAATTTAACTAAGACATCATGCCAAGGAAAATAGCTGTACTCATATGAGACCATTTCTACTCAATGAAATAGGAAAATGCATATGCAGGCAGAGAATGTAATCTGAAAATATCCATGCTACTGCCTACTCTGTCAGAGAGCCTGAACAGATGATAGAAAACTTACTGGCCTAGCATTAAAGTGTCTCATTTCTCAGCTTGATTGGAATCCAGAATAAAAYATTCCTCTGTTTCAAGTCTTCAGAGGGCTCTGTTGCTGGGAACATCTAACATGTTCTGACAGGAGAGTGTCCCTTATAAAATGTTCTTGCAATCACATCTTCTAAARAGTGGTTGAAGAAGGCAGCCTTGTTATTAAAGCAGATGTCCACAAAACCTCCTCTTTTTCTGAGTGTTGAACTCAAATTTCTCCTTACCRAAGACTGTAGCCATCATGTACCTATTGTTCTGAAGGCCGAGAGGAGGGGAGTGTTCCCCACATCTTGCACTATGTTGGATTCTTCTGGTTGAAATCTTRAACAGTCACATTAGAGTGGCCCCATGCCCAGCAGGTCTGGTCCGAGGTTCCTAAATGTTACTTTAACAGCCCAGAGTATGTATTGGCGAACCTTTGGTTTGGGCCTGGAAGATGGGCTCTGCCTTCCCAGATAGGAGGGAATTTAATGGACAGGCTCRGAGAAACATCCTTGACTGGCGCATTCTCCCAGTAGCTATATGTGTCAGGCATATATTCATGTTAACRTATTTGTTTTGATTTTTTTTTYTACATATTTCAATATTCTGCTGCCTAAGATTGTACTGATGCTAGTTCATACTGTTCATATAGCTGCTACATAGGGTTAAACTACCATGTCAAAAGTTTCTGGTTTGGAATAGTGATGAGGCTCTGGAGGCTAGCTGTCCAGTGGATTAATTTATACATAATTAATATATTGTAAACAGTTGACTGAATGAATTAAATGCTAACATCAAACATCGGTTATTGCTAGGATATATTAGTGACATTTTGGTAATCCGCACTCCTCCAAGCACTTTTTTTTATCTTCTTGGTGTTTGCCCATGCTGCGTGTTTTCAATTGCATGGGATCAAGTGAAATCAGGTGAATTATATGAGGGTATTAGTGAACAAAATATTACTGCATAGCTAATCAATTTTGTTTAAGCAACTGTTTTTCTTTAGGGAAACACCTCTTCATGTCTCCAGGAAAAGAAATGTTCTGCAGTCTAACCCCCTAGCCTCATATGTCCAAGTAGGAAACCTTCTAAATCACTTTTTGTACTATTTGCAGTATTGCTTTAAACTTCCTTTTGGTTTTGTTTGTCATTAAATTCCCCAGTGGCAAGCCATGGGGAAAAACAGAACTTTTTTTCAGTAAGTGTTACAAAAGTGACTAGCTGTACCCATTCCTGCTGTTGTAATGTCACATCTCCATACAYGGACTTTCCTGGGCTGTGTTCACAACAATGTCAAGTTACTGAAAATGAAGAAGGGAGCAGATGAGCCCTGTGTTGACTTGAGGTCTGATCCTGCACTGTCCAAGTGACTGAAAATCTTCCCTTTGACTTCAGAGGAAGTTCCGTGWACGTAAGCAACAGTCTCACAATATTGTGAGTCCTGCACCTCTTGCTTTGGTATAGTGCCTTAATTAAAGGTAGCACAATTGCACCTTTAATTGTTCATGTAAGCTGAAAACATGTTGTTTGTTTTATTAGATTCAGAGGCTTTTGATGTCTAACCAGTGACAGAGAAATGTAACACTGCAAGCTATGTATACCAGATAGCTAAGGGCCCTTTTATTTTTGTCTTTCCTGTTTCCACTTTTCACTCAGGTCTGTGAGATTATGAATATTATGTCTAAGAATTGTGGCTCCTGGAATCCTGTGACTACTGTTTTTTATTTATTTGTTTTTCTTTGTATTCATTTGCTTTCATTAAAACGTGCTTCTAACCACTGAAAGTAAAAGTCATAGAATAGTCAAAATCTAAGAGGCAAATAATAACATTTTAATAGGTATTATTTTATCATAGTTTGCTTTTTAAACCATCTTAATGATTACATGAGAGTTTGCTTCTGATTTTAAGCCCTTGGGTTTGCTAATACTGCAGGAAAAAATATTGCCAGTTTCTCCTATGTCAATAAATCCTCTGTCTGCAGCCTGGAAATGTATAATGGCCATGAGGCAGTGTTTTGCTGAGTTTCCTGATTGCTTGCTAGTGTTTGGCCTGTTTAGATTGAGATTAATATAAACTAGGCCACAGAACAGGCACTTTGAGGGCCTCTACCATAGCTGAACTTCAGCATCTCAGGAAAGAATTTAAGTGATAATATATTATGTTACTTGTCACTCCTAGCATTTATATTCCTCACAAACAAGAAAGGTACTGTGGACTTTAGTATTTTGTGTTTCTGCAGAGGAAGCAGCACAAACCATGAGTCTTAAACTCAGATAAAAACACAAAGTAAAATAAAAATAATATATCTCGTATATTGGAGCAACACTTCCATCTTAATACGAGGGCCAATGGAAAACTTGGCTCAGTCTTTGTCACTTTTGCCCCACCTATGGAAAACAGCAGAAAAATTTGGAAACATTGAGTAAGTATGAACTGCTGAGTGTCCTTGTGTTTATGGTTTGGCAAAGAAATGTAATACAAAAAGAATCCTCTTCCCCCAGACTCTTGCTATATATTTAATGCTTCCTCCTTCAGTCCTTATTTTCTTCACAATTTTCTGTCTGCCTCTCTCCTTCTTTTATGTTTATTTATTTCTGCAGTACAACCTATCCTTCTTGCTTTAGTTTTTTTGTGGAAGCACAAAAGAGTGCATTGCATATCCACAAAGAATTTAGTATTTTTATATTTATTGCACCATCCCAACCATAATAATCTAAAGTTGACCACTTTCTTTATCATTCCTATCCATCAATATTATGCATTTCTAATATTCCAAATAMACAATATATCTCATGTACATTTTAAATGTGATATTTATTTATTTCATGTCTACCTCATTTCCTCTAGTGATTCACTTTCTATTTCCATTCTAGTAAAATATTACTGTATTTTCTCCAGTTTCTACTCCCTTTCCTGTTTCTTCTGTATGAATTCCTTCTAGTTACTTTTTGTCCCTTCAGGCACTCCACTTTAACTATCCATCTCTGACTAAGGATGTGCATTTTTTACACACTATTTTCTAACCTGCTGATTTTAGTGCAACAGAGACAGGCAGCCAAGTAGTAGTTATGTTTGATTAAAAAAAAAAGGATTAAAAGAAGAAAGAAAATCATGGAGCATTTCAAACCCCTTGGAAGTTGTGATGCGACTGACATTTAGCTTTTTCCATAAACCCTGAATGCAAGTACTTTATCAGCACATAAATTACAATAATAGAAGTGTTTGCCAGGAAAGAATAATATTATATGAAGACAGTTAAAACTACATTTTTAGATCCAAGAATAGCCTATTAACTGCCTCCATGTGATCATGTCTTTTGCTGGTGTCTGTCTGCGTTGAGGTCATGAGCCTGTTATTTGGAGATAATGGCATTACTCCTTACCTAAAAGTAGTAGCTTTTGTGATTTCAGTTCTAACAGTCCTTTACCTTCTCCCTGCTCAAGATTCATGATGGACTCCTTGCCTTTAATCACTTTCAAAGAACAGATTTTATTTTTGATCTTCTTTAACTCACAGGGCAAGAAAATGCTTTAAGAAAGAGTAAGGCATTAAACACTGTAGCACTGTAGGTATTTACCAATGCGCTGATTTCTGGAAAACCTCAAGTACTCATGCAGATCCATATCCATCACCCCAAAGTGAACAACAGAAATGGCATATGATCAGGGAATGCTGGGAAAAATGTATGTGATATTTTTGAGGTTCTGATAGCACTGGATCTCAGATTGCATTTGTTTTTGTTTCTGTTTTTATTTTTTAATTATGACCTATTTTCCATGCAGTGCAAGCTGT